TCCCCTTTTCCCAATCCCCTTTTCCCAATCCCATTTTCCCATTATTTTTCCCAGAGGACTGGAGTTCCGAGCGGGATTTCTCGGCGTTCCGCCTGGGGGACGTGCTCAACATCCAGGCCGAGGTTGGCTCCCACAGCCACGTCCCCCTCCGGCTCTTCGTGGATTCCTGCGTGGCCACCCTGGGCCCCGGCGCCGGCAACGAGCCCCACTACGCCATCATCGACTTCAACGGGTGTGTTTGGGGACATCTGGGGACACTTGGGGACACTTGGGGACATTTGGGGGTCAGGGGGAGGGTGGCACCTCATCCTGACCCACTGCGCCATCACCGACTTTAACGGGTGTGTTTGGAGATGTTTGGGGACATCTGGGGATGTTTGGGGACACTTGGAGACATTTGGGGACAGTCTGGGGATGTTTGGGGACATTTGGGGACAGTCTGGGGACATTCGGGGATCCGGGGGAGGGTGGCACCTCATCCTGACCCACTACGCCATCACCGACTTCAACGGGTGTGTTTGGGGACATCTGGGGATGTTTGGGGACATTTAGGGACATTGGGGGATGTGCAGGGGTGTTCGGGGTCGTTTGGGGACACTTGGTGACATTTGGGAGTCAGGGGGAGGGTGGCACCTCACCCCACCCCGCTACGCCATCATCGACTTCAACGGGTGTGTTTGGGGACATCTGGGGACACTTGGGGACAGTCTGAGGACATTGGGGGGTCCGGGGGAGGGTGGCACCTCATCCTGAGCCACTGTGCCATCACTGACTTCAATGGGTGCACTGGGGACATTCGGGGACATCTGGGGATGTTTGGGGACACTTGGAGACATTTGGGGACAGTCTGGGGACATTTGGGGGTCCGCGGGAGGGTGGCACCTCACCCCACTACGCCATCATAGACCTCAACGGGTGTGTTTGGGGACATCTGGGGATATTTGGGGACATTTGGGGATAGTCTGGGGACATTTGGGGATCAGGGGGAGGGTGGCACCTCATCCTGCCCCCCTATGCCATCATCGACAGCAATGGGTGCGCTGGGGACATTTGGGGACATTTGGGGACATTTGGGGTCTAGGGCATGGTGGTGACACCTCATCCCTCCCCATTGCTCCGTCATTGACTTCAATGGGTGAGTTTGGGGACATTTGGGGACACTTTGGGGATCTGAGAGCCACCCAGGTGTTGCTGAGCCCTTGTCCCTCCCTTGGGTGACCCGGGGACCCTTGGGGACACCTCGGTGCCAGCCAGGGGTGTGACCCTGCTGTCCCCACAGCTGCCTGGTGGACGGGCGCTCCGATGCCACCAGCTCGGCCTTTGTCACCCCCCGTCCCCGGCAGGACGTGCTGCGCTTCCAGATCGACGCCTTCCGCTTCGCCGGCGACCCCCGCAGCCTGGTAACCCCCGGGGACACCCTGGGGACACCCCGATGTCCCCAACCCCGCGGTGGCCCCAGCAGTGTCCCCTCCCTGCAGATCTACATCACGTGTCACCTGAAGGTGACACCGGCCGAGCAGAGCCCGGACGCGCTGAACAAGGCCTGCTCCTTCAGCAAGGCGCGCAACACGTGAGTGACACCGCGGGGACAGCGCCGTCACCTCCCCGCCATGGTGGCACCAGGTCATCAGTGTCACCTCCCCGCCATGGTGGCACTGGGTGACTGGTGTCACCTCCCTGCCCCGATGGCACCTGGTGATCAGTGTCACTTCTCCACCATGGTGGCACCAGGTCATCAGTGTCACCTCCCTGCCCTGGTGGCACTTGGGTGACTGGTGTCACCTCCCCACCATGGTGGCACCTGATGTCACCTCCCGACCATTGGTGGCACTGGGTGACCGGTGTCACCTCCTGTCACAGCTGGGCGCCCGTGGAGGGGACAAGGGACATCTGCAGCTGCTGTGAGCTGGGCAACTGCGGCAGCACCGCGCTGGCCCGGAGCCTGCGGCCACCAGAGCCATGGAATGGCCACCGCTACCGGAGACACGACAGTGAGGGGACACGGGGACAGGGGGACACAGGGATAGGGGACATTGGGACAGGGGGATGGGGGAATGGGGACATGGGGACAGTGGGGATCCCAGGGACAGGGGGACACAGGGACATGGGGACATTGTGGATGGGGGACAGTGGGACAAGGGAATAGGGGACACAGGGACAGGGGGACATGGGGACAGGAGGATATAGGGAGACAAGGACAGGGGGACATGGGGACAGGGGAATGAGGACAGTGGGGATCCCAGGGACAGAGGGGCCATGGGGACAATGGGGACGGGGTGATCCCTCCTCATTGTCCCTCCTTGTCCTTTGCTGTCCCCTCACTGGTCCCCTAACTGTCTGTCATTGTCCCCTGTGTCCCCTGTGTCCCCAGGTGCCACCTCCGAAGCCGATGTTGTCATCGGGCCAGTGCTGCTCTCCAGTGACCCGCGGGGCCAGCGCCCCGAGAGCCACCCGGGTGAGTGTCCTGAGGTGACATCGGTGACATTGGTGACAATTGATCGGTGACATCAGTGACACTCAACCGGTGACAATCCCCGCTCACCTGTGTGTCCCTTCCTGTCACTTTGCAGGCGCGGTGTCACCGCTGGGCCTGGGGACAGTGCTGGCCTGCGCCGTGGCCGTGGTGGCCGTGGCCGGAGCCGCGCTGGCCCTCGGCCTGAGACGCCGGAATTCCCAATAAATCCCGGAAAGATCAATGGGATTCCCAATAAATCCCAGAATAATCAACCGGATTCCAAATAAATCCCACAAGGACCAACGGAATTCCCAGTAAATCCCAGAAAGATCAATGGGATTCCCAATAAATCCCACAAGGACAAACGGTGTCACTCTGGGGGGGAATCCTGGGAATGGGGCAGGCAGCGTCACCAGTCCTGTCCCAGTGTCCCCATCCCCAGTGTCCCCATTCCCATTCCCACTGTCCCCATTCCCATGCCAATGGCCCCATTCCATTCCCAGTGTCCCCAATCCTAATGTCCCCATTCCCATTGTTCCCATTCCCACTGTCCCCATTCCCACTGTCCCCATTTCCAGTGTCCCATTCCCATGCCAATGGCCCCATTCCATTCCCAGTGTCCCCAATCCTAATGTCCCCATTCCCATTGTTCCCATTCCCACTGTCCCCATTCCCATCCCACTGTCCCTATTTCTGGTATCCCCATTCCCATCCCAGTGTCCCCATTCCCATTCCCAATGTCCCCATCCTCATTCCCAATGTCCCCATTCCCATCCCAAAGTCTCCTTTCCATTCCTAATGTCCCATTCCCACTCTCCCCATTCCCAGTGTCCCCATTTCCAGTGTCTTCATTCCCATTGTCACTGTCCCCATTCCCATTTCCACTGTCCCCATTCCCAGTGTCCCCATTCCCATTCCCCATGTCCCCATCCTCATTCCCAATGTCCCCATCCCAATGTCCCCATTCCATTCCCACTGTCCCCATTCCCGACCCCATTCCCAGCCCCAAAATTCCCAAATCCCAATCTCCGCTCTCTCCAGCTTTCGAAAAGATGAGAAACCAGAAAAATTCCCTAAAAACTTTGTGGGATTTCCCTCCCCAAATTCCCAGAGCTGTTTCTTTCCCCCTCCCTGGGAACATTCCCAAAAATTCCCAAGGATTTTTAGGATCACGAGGATTTTATGGAGCGTTGGGATGGTCCCTGTTTTAATTCCAGCCTTGGATACCCTCAGAAAATGGGGGAAAACTGGGAAATAAAGGGAAAATTTGGGATAAAAAAGATTCCAAAGAGTCCTCGTGGCTTCCCCTCTTTTTATTGGGAAAAGGGGGAATTTTGGGAACGCGTCGGAGCCACCTCGGGAACCTCCCGGGAAAGGGGACGGGTGACATTCCTGGAATTTGGCTGCCATCAGGATCTGCAGGGAAAAAATGGGAAAATCCTGAAAAAATCCATGGAAAATGAGGAAAAAACAACCCCAAATGGGAAAATCCCAGAAAATTCTATGGAAAATGAGGAAAAACTGACCCCAAATGGGAAAATCCCTGGAAATTCCATGGAAAATGAGGAAAAAAACAACCCCAAATGGCCAAATCCCAGAAAATTCCATGGAAAAGGAGGAAAATCCCAACTGGAACCCCCAATCCTGGAAAATTCCATGGAAAATGAAGAAAAACCAACCCCAAATGGCCAAATCCCAGAAAATTCCATGGAAAATGAGGAAAACCCCAAATCCTGATTTTTTTTCCCTAATGTTCACCAGCAAAAACATGATGGAAAAGCCGGGAAAAAAGTGGGGATAAAAGTGGGAAAAAGCAGGAGAAAAGAGAAAAAAATTGGGATAAAGTGGGGGAAAAGTGAGGGAAAATGTGGGGGAAAAAACAAATAAAAAACGTGGGAAAAAAAGCAAAAAAAATGGAAAAAAGCAGGGAAAAGTGGGGAAAGAAGTGGGAAAAAAGTGGAAAAAATGGGAAAGAAGAGGAAAAAAAGTGGAAAAAAGTGGGGGGAAAAGTGAAAAAAGGGGAAAAAAACGGGGAAAAGCAGGGAAGAGGGAAAAAACTGAAACAGTGGGAAAAAAATTAAAAAATGGAAATAAAGTGGGGGGGGGAAAGTGGGAAAAAAGTAGGGCAAAAGCAGGGAAAGAAGTGGCTGAAAAAATGGGACAAAAGATGGAAAATTTGAGAAAAAAGTGGGGGGAAAACAGGAAATAGTGAGGAAAAAATGCAAAAAAGCCCGAAAATTTGGGGTAAAAAGTGGGAAAACAGTGGGGGAAAAGCGGGAACAAAGTGGGGGAAAGTGGGGAAAAAAGTAGCTGAAAAATGGGACAAAAATTTAGGAAAAAAGTGGGAAAATTTTGGAAAAAAGTGGGAAAAAAGTGGGAAAAACTGGGAAAAGAGCAGGAAAAGAACAAGAAAAAAGAGGGAAAAAGAAAAAAAAAAGAGGGAAAAAAAAGCAGGAAAATTTAGGAAAAAAGCAGGGGAAAAGCAGGAAAAAGAGGGTGCATCCTGGTTTTTTGGGATTTAGGGATTTTTGGGGATTTTTGGGGATTTTTGGGGAATTTCGTACTGGGAAATGTGGAAGTTGGAGGTGGAGGAAAAGCAGGGAAAAAGTGGGGAAAATAGTGAAAAAAGGGGGAGATGAATGGGAAAAAGCAGAGGAAAACCAGAAAAAGTGGGGAAAAAAGTCCAAAAAGTGGGAAAAGAGCAGGAAAAAAAGCAGAAAAAAAACCCGGAAAGTTGTGAAAAAAGTAGGAAAAAAGCAGAAAAAAAAGCAGGATAAGTATAGGAAAAAAATAGGGAAAAAGAAAAAAGTGAGGGGAAAAATGCGAAAAAAAGAAGGAAAGTTTGGGAGGAAATGGGAAAAAAGTGGGGAAAAAGCAAGAAAGAATTAGGAGAAAAATGAGGGAAAAAGTGGGAAAATTTGGAAAAAAATAGGAAAAAAATGGGGAAAGAGCAGGAAAAAAAAGAGGGAAAAAGCAAAAAAAAAAAAGAGAAAAATGCAAAAAAAGCAGGAAAATTTGGGGGAAAAATCAGGAAAAACTGGGAAAAAATCAGGAAAAAAAGCAGGAAAAAGAGGCTGCATCCTGGTTTTTTGGGATTTTTGGTTTTTTGGGGGATTTTTTGGGAATTTCGTACTGGGAAATGCGGCAGTTGGAGGCGGAGACGAAGCGCCCGGTGTAGAGGGAAAAGCAGGGAAAAAGTTGGGAAAAAAGAGGGGGAAAAGTGGGAAAATTTGGGAAAAAAATTGGGAAAAAATGGGGAAAGAGCAGGAAAAAAAAGAGGGAGCAAGAAAAAAAAAAAAGAGAAAAATGCAAATAAAGCAGGAAAATTTGGGGGAAAAATCAGGAAAAACTGGGAAAAAATCAGGAAAAAAGCAGGAAAAAGAGGCTGCATCCTGGTTTTTTGGTTTTTTTGGGATTTTTGGTTTTTTGGGGGATTTTTTGGGAATTTCGTACTGGGAAATGCGGCAGTTGGAGGCGGAGACGAAGCGCCCGGTGTAGTGGATGTGGCAGCGAACGACGTTGTTGGTGAAATCCGATTCCAGCACCAAATATTTGGGATTGACCTGGACCTGGGAATGGGGGGGGAAAAAAAAAAAAAATCAGGAGAAGGAATCCAGAAAATCAACAGGGAAAAAATCTCCCGGGAAAATCGGGTGGGAAGGGGGGAAATTATCCCGGGAATTAAAGGGGAAAAGGGAAAATCAGGGGGGAGAAATCCCAAAATGCAAAAGGGGAAATTAGGGGGAAATCCCAAAACAGGAAAAAGGGAAAATCGGGGGGAAATCCCAAAAAACAAAAGGGGAAAATCAGGGGGAAATCCCAAAAAATCAAAGGGAAAATCGGGGGGAAAATCCCAAAAAGCAAAAGGGAAAACGGAAGGAAATCCCCAAAAGTTAATGGGAAAATCAGGGGAGAAATCCCAAAACAGGGAAAAGAGAAAATCAGGGGAAATTATCCCAAAAATCAACAGGGAAATGGGAAAAACAGGAGGAAAATATCCCAAAAAATCAACAGGGAAAGGAAAAATAAACAGGGACAAAAATATCCCCAAAATAAACAGAGAAATGGGAAAATCAGGGGGAAAAAAATTCCCAAAAATAAACAGGGGAAAGGGAAAATTAGGGGAAAAGAATCCCAAAATAAACAGGGATAAGAGAAGGGAGAAAAAAAATCCCAAAATTAACAAGGAAATGGAAAATTATGGAAAAATCCCCAAATATCAACAGGGAAAAGGAAAATTCAAGGAAAAAAAAATTTCCCAAAATTAACAGGGAAATGGAGAAATGAGGGGGAAAAAATCCCAAGCCAAGGAAAAAGAAAATTTAAAAAATCCCCAAAATCAGCATGGAAATGGGGAAATCAGGGGGAAAAAAAATCTCAAAATGAAAAGGGAAATGGAAAATCAGGGGAAAAAATCCCAAAATTAATCAGGGAAATTGGGAAATTAGGGAAAAAAATCCCCAAATGAAAAGGGAAATGGAAAATTAGGGGAAAAAAATCCCCAAATTAAGAAGGAAATGGAAATCAGGGAAAAAAATCCACAAATTAACAAGGAAAAGGGAAATTAGGCGAAAAAATCCCAAAAAATAACAGGGAAATGGAGAAATCAGGGGAAAAATCCCAAAATTAACAGGGAAAGGGGAAATCAGGGAAAAAAACCCCAAAACAAGGCAAAGCAAAATTAAAAAAAAATCCCAAAAATCAGACGGGAAATGGAGAAATCAGGTGGAAAAACCCAAATATCAACAGGGCAAAGAGAAGGGAGAAAAAAATCCCAAAATTAACAGAGAAAGGGAAATTAGGGGAAAAAATCCCAAATATGAACAGGGAAAAGGGAAAATCAGGGAAAAAAATTCCCAAAATTAACAGGGAAAGGGAAATAAGGGGAAAAAAATCCCCAAATTAGCAGGGAAATTGAGAAATCAGGGGAAAAAATCCCCAAACAAGGCAAAGCTTAAAAAAAATCCCAAAAATCAGGCGGGAAATGGAGAAATCAGTGAAAAAAAACCCCAAAATGAAAAGGGGAATGGAAAATTAGGGGAAAAAAAATCCCAAAATTAAGAGGGAAAGGGAAATCAGGGAAAAAAATCCCCAAACTAACAAGGAAAAAGGAAATTAGGCGAAAAAAATCCCAAAAAATAACAGGGAAATGGAGAAATCAGGGAAAAAAAAAATCCCAAAATTAACAGGGAAAGGGGAAATCAGGGAAAAAAACCCCAAAACAAGGCAAAGCAAAATTTAAAAAAAATCCCAAAAATCAGGCGTGAAATGGAGAAATCAGCGAAAAAAAACCAAAAATGAAAAGGGAAATGGTAAATCAGGGAAAAAAAAATCCCAAAATTAAATGAAAAGGAAATTAAGGGGG